GTCGATCCGAACAAGAATCCAGTATCCTCTTTGCATCCGTCATACAAAGGTCGTTGTTCATTTAAAAATGCCCTGCAGTGTGAATACAAGAATCTCGTCAAATCTGATCGCCATGGTGGATATTCACCTCCATGTGAGGTACTGTCACTGAAGTGTCGATTGAAGATCCGCCAGGTCCGGCGATTGAAGACTCTGTGCAGACGTTACAAGAGTTTACCTCTCACCGATGATGGGGATCCTTGCAATGATCCCAGACTGCATGATGCGTATCTGGAGTGGAAATGTATTCTGAAGGCAAAGGGTTATGGCAATTCCTGGATGAATTGGATCCTTTCGTATGACGTCATTCCTGCAGTTACATTCTGGCTGCCCAAGTATGATGATTTGGAAACCATGATGCAGATCACACAGCATGATTGTGACCATGCGTGCAGAGATGAGTCCAGCAAACGCGCTCAACGCTTCCGTGCAAAGATTCATATTGATACTCATGATGACTACAGCAGAATGAGTTATAAATTGATCCAGGCTAAGGAAGCATCTCCACTCGCTGAGGTTCCAGTGTGTCGCAAAATGAGTGCCACGTTGATGAGGTCTTCACCTGGACAGACGGCACTCTGGATGGATGAAGTTTTTGAGATTCCTCCATTCTCGAATATTACGCTTGATGATGCTGTGATTTCGTTTGTGAGACAAGATGGACGGAAACTCTTTTTTCGACATGTCAGTGGTGTGCTGCCTTCTCATGGATCTCTGACGGTGTCTTACATTGCAGTCACTTCCAACGAGATTGGTGATGAATTTTCCAGATTCTGGTCCAATATGTGGCTCCGTGATCACCGATCTGAACAGTTTCAAAGTGATAGTTGGAATGACTTTACTGAGATTCTTGATGCGACTCCAATGCCGTACATCCCACAGATTGTTTACCCACTTGGATGCGTGAAAACATGGATGAAGCTCATTAAATCTCTGCCTGCAAAGAAAGCTGTTGGTCCCTGCGGATGGTCAAATGATGAGCTGAAAATTCTGCCTGAATGCTGCATCAATGACCTAGTATGGATTTTTCAAAGGGTGGCTACCACTGGTTTCAGTCAATCTATGATGATGGCGAAGACCGTTCTGCTTGCAAAAATCCGGACTCCAATGTCGATGAATCATGCCAGACCGATCACCATTTTGAGTTGTCTGTATAGACTTTTTGGTCGATTCATTTTCAGGCACACTTCCTCTGTGTGGAGGCAATACTTACCATTCCCTATTTCTGGGGGTCTTCCAGGTCGGGGGGTGAAAGAGCTTGCGTATGCACAGAAGAGAGCCATTGAGGATGCCGTCTCACTGGGACGATGCATTGGCGGGTTTTCACTGGATCTTGTGGAGGCCTACAATACTTTTGCGAGGTACGTTGTCACCAGGCTCATGCAGAGACTCGGAATGCCTCAAGCTGTGCTTGAAGCTTGGGTGTCTAGTCTGGATGTGATGGTTAGGTAGCCGCAGATACATGGAGCCGTTACTGAGGGGATTGCATCAACCACTGGAGTGCCTGAAGGTTGCTCAGTTAGTGTTCTCTCCATGCTGGCCACCTCTGCCTTCTATTTCTATAGACTTTGTTCTCAGCATATTCAGCCGTCAGCTTATGCTGATAACTGGAGTTGGATGTCATTGCAGCAGAGGGCGCATTTTGAGACGTATCAGAAAATGTTACAGTTGGTTTCATCGATGAGGTTGGTCATTAACCATGGCAAAAGTTGGCACTGGGGAACCACGAAAACCTTCCGTGATAGTTGCTCTGAACTTCAGGCTCTACATGAACATGATACTCCGTTCCATGTCAAATCTTGCGTGAAAGATCTTGGAGAACTTGTTCATTATAACAAGAGTGCATCCATTGGCTTCATCCGTGACAAGATTGATGAAGGGATTCGCAGGATTCAAAGGATTGAGTGGTTACCTTGTGATCTCCAGAAGAAAGCTTTGTTCATTCAGACCGCAGTGTGGCCCTTTGCACTATATAGCTGTGATACCACGTACATTGGACAGAAGCATTTCGAGAAACTCCGAAGGGCTACAGTCAATACACTGGTGGGTCATTGGCATTCTGCCTCGCCACTACTTGCTTGTAATTTTCTCTCCAAGTTTCTTGTTGACCCTTTTCTCCATACACTATGCCAGTGTGTGAGAATTTTGAGACGTATTGCAAATGTTCAGAGAGAGCTTGCGGTACAGACCGTTGCTTTTGCGGTATCTTACTCAGGGTCACGACCGTATGGGCCTGCCAGTGCCTTGAAGCACTATCTCAACCAGGTGGACTGGCATTTAGACATCCATGGTAATGTCACTGGACCTGAACATTATGGGTGCAACATCCTGAACGATTCTATCAAAAAGATTGTCAATACTTTCAGATCGATGTGGGTTTACAACATCGTTTGGTCCATGGATCGAAAAGGTATTGGTGATTTTTTGCCTTATCCAAGGTGTGGGCTGAGTGTTTTTTCTGCCCTCTCAGATGACATGCAACAAATCATCAAGCTCAATATCGTTGGTGGATATCAGACCAAAAGTATGAAAGCCAAATGGGACAAAGAGACGGAAGACTCTTGCGTGTTCTGAGGTCTATGTGACACGAGAGAACACCGTTTGCTGCATTGTGACATTGGCCAACCTATTAGAGAGACTTTTCCTGATGCCATCGCTACTCTGACGGAGCAAAGGCCTGAATGGATTTATATTCCACTCCCTCGACAGCATGACATGGCTATCCTGCTGAGGGCATATCTCAAACTGGTGAAACCTCCAATCATCCCTGCAGCTTACAATGTCCCTTCTGGCACTATCAGGTTTTTTACCGATGGTGGTGCCATTCACCCAACTTGTGCTCATGCGAGAGTTGCATCTTGGTCTGTTGTTCAAGATGTTGCTGATACTGACAAGCAAAGACGTGATGCAGCATGCTTTCTCAATGACATGAAACCGAGTTTCCCTTGCTTTAAGGTCCTAGCCCTTGGCATTGTTTATGGTGATCAGACTGTAGCAAGAGGGGAGCTTTTAGCTCTTTTGACCGCAGTTCGGGCGATGCTGAAGTATGATCCTACACGACATGCCATTTTTGTCACTGATGCCAAGTATGTGTGCAATGTGGTCCATTTGATTTGCACTGGTTTATGGAGATTTTTGCTTCACAAATTGCCCAATGGCGATCTCATACATGACTTGGCTCTCGTGTGGGATTCGAATCGATTCCAGCTGCAGAAGGTGAAAAGCCATAGATCTTTTGACTCGGCAGTCGGTTTTGAGGATCTCTGGATGATAGCAGGAAATTTCTGTGCTGATGCTGCTGCCACATCGGCGTTCAAGACCTTGCCGCATGACATCCGTTGCTTATCCAACAACATTGCTGAACATGTTGTCCGTGAGAAAGCATTGTTATCCAGAGTTTTTGAATATCTTGCTGCTTTTAATAAGCACAGATGTGAAGCATTGTCCAAATTGCCACAGAAAGAAGGCTGCCCCACCACCGTATTGCAGACCGCAAAATGTCCGCCGCCGGCTACAGAGGGAAGATATCCATCGAGCCTGATGGGAGAGGATGCTGTTGTTTTCATGCGTGATTTTCACCCTACCTTTTATGAACCCTTGCATTTTGCAGAGTTTGATGCCTCGGTTTTCAACATGTGCCTTCAAGGAGCTAATGTTGCAAAGGCAGTGACAGTATGGCTTCGGGCACTCAAGTGGCCGCCTGATGTTGATCAGCCAAATGCTTCAGATTGGGGCATTTCCTGGTTTGAATTAGCCGTCAGTTTTTATTTTTACACTGGTTATCGTTTTCCGGTCAAAGTTGGAGGTGCTGGCAACAAATCACGATATGTGGATTATGGCTCAGATGAAGCCCTGATCCTTCCTGGGCATCAGCGCGCAGCAATTCTTCAAGGTATTTGCTTGCGTAACATGATACAGAATCTGACAACTGTCATGGAGCAGAAAATCTTTCCTGAATTTGGTACCTTCAAGTGCAGAACGCTCACAAGATTGGGATTGAAAGGTGTAGTTGCAGGGATTCCAAGACGTCCCGTGATTCCCAATACAACTGATACCGTCAACTTTGTGGCCAAGTACATGTCCAACTTGAATGGCATTGCACTGAATGAACCGATCTACTACAAAGACCTGGTTCCCATGACAGTCATAGACAGAATTCATGAACCTAGCGCTGCACAGAGGCATAATTTGTATGCTTCCTTCATGAAGGCCAAACGCAAGACACGTGCCGCTTCTGGATCTGTGGATGATAATTAGGTGCATGCATGTCTCTAATTAAAATTGTGAGATTTTCTTTCATACCCGCCACCAGTGCATGGGGTGAGAGATAGTGCAGTGAACCTGACACATGCCTCGCGTCAAAAGTTGAAAAAAATACTGGGCGACATGTAATTCTGTAATCCCTTCCACCTGGTATCAAAACCCCCAGGCCCCAGATATTTATAGATCCAAAGCTGGTCTTCCTATTCAAACAGGGATGTTGGTGTGGCATCCTTTAGTGGGGAAAAAGACAATCAACCATGGGATGTTTTGGGTCCCCAAGAAAAAGAGGGTTCAAGTGTTGCAGTGTAGATCCCAGTAAGCACTTGGGCAGTTGAGTTTTCCAAGGCACCAGCAACTAGCAACCCCAAAAAATTGGGCCCCAGCTGGAGGATGATTTTCCTATTAGACATGATTATACATGAATTCTCAGTTCCATGGTGTTTAATGCAGTGGCCCCTCCTGTGGCTGGCGTTTCAGGTCCAAGTTGCCCCCTCTGGGTGTCCGATCCAGATTCCGGGAGATTCCAGAGCGACAATACTGAAGTCAGTCCATCGAAATCAATCGAATTTGAGGAGCCCAAAATCGTCCAATGTGTCCAATGAGTCTAAAATAGTCCAAATATTTCAATTTTGAGTTCACACCCACAGGTTGCACAACTGGAGATTCGGAACTGCTGTGTGTGTGTTGATGTGACCCAGGAAATGTCCAAGTGGATATGCCGGCTCCATCAGATTGCAACTCTCAAAAAAAGATGGCGGCAATGACAGGGGACACTACTGACCTTCAAATCCACGTACTGGTATGTATATGTATATATATATTTATGTAGTGTGTGTGTGTGTATCAAATTTTTATATATAAAGTCAGGGATAAAGATATTGTGAGTGTTGATTGATTATGCACTTTTTCGGAGATAGAGCAATAGGATGCAATAGGAATCCCCAGTTCCAAAAGGAAATATGGGACTCCGATGGTCACCAAACACACCAGGATCCGCAAAGTTTCGTGGGCAGCTTGGAGGTTTGTTGCTGTTTGTGGCGTCCCTTTACAACTCCAAGGGGAATCGTTGTTGGATGTTCGGGCCATTCTTTTGCATATGTGTTATGTTTTGAACTTTGAAAATCAATGTGTTTTTTGGTGATTCGACGTGAAGGTGACATGAAGGTGTGCAGACACTTCCTTTTTGCCAGCCTCAGGAAGTGTTTTGATAGCCTTGTGACAGTCCATTCTGGAGCGTGGCTTGGTTTCAAGGTGTGATTCAGTTGGCCCTTTGTTCATCTAAACATATGCAAACTGGACGTAAAAACGCCTTTGACAATTGAGTTTATCATATTACCACATAGAAAGACCGGTAAATACAAGCTCATTTCATATTGTCGATCTCCACCTGAGCAATTGATGACAGATGGGTGTCAACTTTCAGCCATATTCCAAATGGCTTTGTTCCCACTGCATCTGTGTCCTAAAGACCCAGACTTTGTTTCAGTGAAAGTCATCTGAGGACCGCTGCTAGACCCTACTTGTATATGTTTGCATTCGAAACCAATGTATTTGTTCTCCGGAAATCCAGAGAAAACATGTGAAAGTCTGCTTATATAAATCTTTACTTTTTATTGGTAGTTTCAGTTCCCATGGTTGGTGGATATACACCAAGCGCATCACATCGCAAGTTTCTCTCGCAGGTGCTACGAGCACTGCGGCAGTGGCGCGGTGCAAGGTGCCCAATATGCGGGACTGAACCACGCACCTCGATGCAGGAATGATTTAAGAGAACGTCTATGGGATAGATATGGCATTGCAGGAGTCATGTATATGATATAATTAAGTACATAATAAATATAAACAATATAAACAATATAAACAATATAAACATGCATTACATGCATTACATACATTACATACATTACACACATTACATACATACATACATACATACATACATACATACATACATAATTACATAATTACATAATTACATAATTACATACATATACATACATACGTACATACATACATACAAACATACCTACCTACCTACATACATACATACATACATACATACAATACATACAATACATACAATACCTACAATACCTACAATACATACAATACCTACAATACATACAATACATACAATACATACAATACCTACAATACATACAATACATACAATACATACAATACCTACAATACATACAATACATACAATACCTACAATACCTACAATACCTACAATACATACAATGCATACAATGCATACAACACATACAATACATACAATGCATACAATACATACAATACATACAATACATACAATACATACAATACATACAATACATACAATACATACAATACATACAATACATACAATACATACAATACATACATATACAATACATACATACAATACATACAATACATACAATACATACATACACATTACACCATGCATACATGCATACATGCATACATGCATACATACATGCATACATGCATACATGCATACATGCATACATGCATACATGCATACATGCATACATGCATACATGCGTACATGCGTACATGCGTACATGCGTACATGCGTACATTGCGTACATTGCGTACATTGCGTACATTGCATACATTGCATACATTGCATACATTGCATACATTGCATACATTCCATACATTCCATACATTACATACATTACATACATTACATAACATACATACATACATACATGCATACATGCATGCATACATAAATGCATACATGCATGCACACATACATGCATAAATACATGCATGCATACATACGTGCATACATGCATGCATACATCCATACCTACATACACACATACATACACACATACACATTACATTAGATTACATGACATTACATGACATTGCATGACATTCCATGACATTACATGACATTACTTGACATTACATAACATTACATAACATTACATGACATTACGTGACATTACTTGACAATACTCAACATTACATAACATTAATTAACATTACAATACACTACATAACGTTACATAACATTACAAAACATTGCATAACATTACATTTCATTATATTTAATTTATATTACATTACATTACATTACATTACGTTACATACATACATACATACATACATAGAGAAATATATACATAGATACATAGATACATAGACACATAGACACATACATAGATACACAGATACATGGATACATACATAGAAACATGGAAACATAGGTACATACATAGATAAATAGAAACATAGATACATACGTAGATACACAGATACGTACATAGATAGATATATAAATAGATACATAGATACATAGATACATAGATAGATACAATACAATACAATACAACACAATACATTACATTATAATACGATACAATACAAATACACATACAAATGCAATACAATACAATACATTACAGTACATATATATATATATGTATACACGGGAAATCATCATAAATCATCATGGCTTTCCACTTTAAGGCTCTTTAGGAAGCCTGTTCCCATGAAGTTCCCATACACTTCCCCTGACTCCGGGTTTTGTCTGGAAATGCGAAGGTTACAGGAATGGAGGTTCCATCATTGGGGTGCCCAAAGAATACTTTTTGCCCAGACACTGGGTAGGGGAACATCCACACATATTGCGCTCTATATTATATAATGTTTTGAGTTCAACATAGTGTCCAGGGGAGACGAACCCATGATAGGCAGCCATACAGCATTGATAATATAGTATACTAATACATTTATTTTTGATCTACAGATAGATGTCACCCACGTGTTGAAGATCGCAGAATATGGCAGAAACTGTTAGAATACTTAGCAGACTTTGCCAGCAGCACATGACCGTCGAGACGAGTCCTGCATCTTTCCTCCTGGGAGCCAGACGTTGCCAGCTTTCATTCCCAGAAAAGGTTTGCAGAAAAAAAAAAACATACGACCCCCCCCCCCACACTAAGATAGTAAAACCAGGCTTCCCTTGCAGCCCTGATATTGATGGACACACTAAGATAGTAAAACCAGGCTTCCCTTGCAGCCCTGATATTGATGGACACACTAAGATCTAAGATAGTAAAACCAGGCTTCCCTTGCAGCCCTGATATTGACGGACACACTAAGATCTAAGATAGTAAAACCAGGTTTCCCTTGCAGCCCTGATATTGATGGACACACTAAGATCTAAGATAGTAAAACCAGGTTTCCCTTGCAGCCCTGATATTGATTGACACACTAAGATAGTAAAACCAGGCTTCCCTTGCAGCCCTGATATTGATGGACACACTAAGATCTAATATAGTAAAATCAGGCTTCCCTTGCAGCCCTGATATTGATGGACACACTAAGATCTAATATAGTAAAACCAGGCTTCCCTTGCAGCCCTGATATTGATGGACACACTAAGATCTAAGATAGTAAAACCAGGCTTCCCTTGCAGCCCTGATATTGATGGACACACTACAGTAAGATAGTAAAACCAGGCTTCCCTTGCAGCCTGATATTGATGGACAAACTAAGATAGTAAAACCAGGCTTTCCCTGCAGCCCTGATATTGAGGGACACACACTAAGATAGTTAAAACCAGGCTTCCCTTGCAGCCCTGATATTGATGGACACACTAAGATAGTAAAACCAGGCTTCCCTTGCAGCCCTGATATTGATGGACACACTGAGATAGTAAAACCAGGCTTCCCTTGCAGCCCTGATATTGACGGACACACTAAGATCTAAGATCGTAAAACCAGGCTTCCCTTGCAGCCCTGATATTGATGGACACACTAAGATCTAAGATAGTAAAACCAGGCTTCCCTTGCAGCCCTGATATTGATGGACACACTAAGATCTAAGATAGTAAAACCAGGCTTCCCTTGCAGCCCTGATATTGATGGACACACTAAGATAGTAAAACCAGGCTTCCCTTGCAGCCCTGATATTGATGGACACACTAAGATAGTAAAACCAGGCTTCCCTTGCTGCTCTGATATTGATGGACACACTAAGATAGTAAAACCAGGTTTCCCTTGCAGCCCTGATATTGATGGACACACTAAGATAGTAAAACCAGGCTTCCCTTGCAGCCCTGATATTGACGGACACACTAAGATCTAAGATAGTAAAACCAGGTTTCCCTTGCAGCCCTGATATTGATGGACACACTAAGATCTAAGATAGTAAAACCAGGTTTCCCTTGCAGCCCTGATATTGATTGACACACTAAGATAGTAAAACCAGGCTTCCCTTGCAGCCCTGATATTGATGGACACACTAAGATCTAATATAGTAAAATCAGGCTTCCCTTGCAGCCCTGATATTGATGGACACACTAAGATCTAATATAGTAAAACCAGGCTTCCCTTGCAGCCCTGATATTGATGGACACACTAAGATCTAAGATAGTAAAACCAGGCTTCCCTTGCAGCCCTGATATTGATGGACACACTAAGATAGTAAAACCAGGCTTCCCTTGCAGCCCTGATATTGATGGACACACTGAGATAGTAAAACCAGGCTTCCCTTGCAGCCCTGATATTGATGGACACACTAAGATCTAAGATCGTAAAACCAGGCTTCCCTTGCAGCCCTGATATTGATGGACACACTAAGATCTAAGATAGTAAAACCAGGCTTCCCTTGCAGCCCTGATATTGATGGACACACTAAGATCTAATATAGTAAAATCAGGCTTCCCTTGCAGCCCTGATATTGATGGACACACTAAAATCTAATATAGTAAAACCAGGCTTCCCTTGCAGCCCTGATATTGATGGACACACTAAGATCTAAGATAGTAAAACCAGGCTTCCCTTGCAGCCCTGATATTGATGGACACACTAAGATCTAAGATAGTAAAACCAGGCTTCCCTTGCAGCCCTGATATTGATGGACACATTAAGATAGTAAAACCAGGCTTCCCTTGCAGCCCTGATATTGATGGACACACTAAGATAGTAAAACCAGGCTTTCCCTGCAGCCCTGATATTGATGGACACACTAAGATCTAGGATAGTAAAACCAGGCTTCCCTTGCTGCCCTTATATTGATGGACACACTAAGATAGTAAAACCAGGTTTCCCTTGCAGCCCTGATATTGATGGACACACTAAGATAGTAAAACCAGGCTTCCCTTGCAGCCCTGATATTGATGGACACACTAAGTCACTAAGATAGTAAAACCAGGCTGCCCTTGCAGCCCTGATATTGATGGACACACTAAGATAGTAAAACCAGGCTTCCCTTGCAGCCCTGATATTGATGGACACACTAAGATCTAAGATAGTAAAACTAGGCTTCCCTTGCAGCCCTGATATTGATGGACACACTAAGATCTAAGATAGTAAAACCAGACTTCCCTTGCAGCCCTGATATTGATGGACACACTAAGATCTAAGATAGTAAAACCAGGCTTCCCTTGCAGCCCTGATATTGATGGACACACTAAGATGCTAAGATAGTAAAACTAGGCTTCCCTTGCAGCCCTGATATTGTGGGAACCACTAAGATCTAAGATAGTTAAAACCAGACTCCCTTGCAGCACTGATATGATGGACACACTAAGATCTAAGATAGTAAAACCAGGCTTCCCTTGCAGCCCTGATATTGATGGACACACTAAGATAGTAAAACCAGGCTTCCCTTGCAGCCCTGATATTGATGGACACACTAAGATAGTAAAACCAGGCTTCCCTTGCAGCCCTGATATTGATGGACACACTGAGATAGTAAAACCAGGCTTCCCTTGCAGCCCTGATATTGATGGACACACTAAGATCTAAGATCGTAAAACCAGGCTTCCCTTGCAGCCCTGATATTGATGGACACACTAAGATCTAAGATAGTAAAACCAGGCTTCCCTTGCAGCCCTGATATTGATGGACTGATATGAGCCCATATCCAACCAACCAAGACCGATCCGCCATCTACCAAGCATTTCCCCAACCATTTGAACATTATCGAGGGCCCGGGTTAGCTGAGATTGTTTGAAGATAGGGTAACCCATTCCATGCACCGGTGAATCATTAAACTAGCGATAATTTGGAGTATATTTAGTTAATCCCTAATTAATTTTCAGACATAACCCAAACTCATATAATATCAAAAATATACATTATTATTATTATATATATATATAATCTCATATTGGTGTTTGTTTCTACCACAAAACATCGCGTACAAATTGCGATATGCATGTCCACAACTATGCACAAGTTCACCCCTGGAGATTCTCCATATCACCATAAACCGCTATATTATCCCTAGATATCCCTAGTGGGTAAGCCATCTCCCATTGACAATCACCCAGTGAGGAAGACTATGATTCCATCATTTGTCCCGAAGTGGGGCAGATCAGGATCCGCGGCTTGGCAGTAGGTCGAGCTGCTGTTTCTGCTGTTTTAAGATTGACTAGGGATATTGATGACTCAACTGGCTTAGCTTTGTCAGTCCAAATTCAACTTCTTTTTTTTGTTTCGAAATCCATGAAATTCTGTTAAGGAAGATGATACCAACTGAGTCATATTATATCGTATGTTGTTCAGGTTGTTTCTTTTCATCAGCAACCACAACACTTTTCAGGTCAAAACACTGACGGATTTCCCTAACACAGTGTTTTGTTCACTTCTCTGTTCTATTGGGAACTTGACATTCATCGGATTCCAAATTGTTGGCTGCGTCCCTCACAAATACCCGGCATTTCCGAATGTCAGCTGAGGTTGTTTTGATGGTGAAACGGAAGTCATCGATGGGGAGTGCTTGTATGGTTGTGGCAGTGGTTCCGTACCAGATCCCAATGGAGTGCCACTGCAACATCCAGCATTTCCACATGATACCAGGGTGAATGGTACATGTAGCGACTCAGCTGCCGCACTTGGAGTTTCATGATAGAATAGACATGGATAGACATGGATTCTTTGGATAGGTGGGCGTTTGGGGATTCTACATGAATATATACATATTATAATATATATATGTTATGACCAAAAGGGCCGGCAACAAATCCACTTGTTTGGGACCCGTGTTCCATTATTTGTAGTAGTGCACACTCGTGCTATATGATATACAATACACACATGTATTGTTGTAACATTGTTGTAACTATTGTAATTATGTAATTTTCTCAGCCGCCTTTTTTCAATCAGTCCTCCCGCACACTTTCACAGTTTATTTCTGCATCAAGCAGCAGTTTCATGAGGTCAAGATGGAGTTGGCCAAGTCGAATTGCACTGCAACAACACTGCCGCTTGGCCAGTCAGGGAGTCACTAAAAGAAATCATGTGTAATGCAACCTCAGGGTGATCTGAGTTTTTCTGGACTCATTTGGATCAATTCTATGTGGTGGACACTAACGTTAAGCCATGAAACCGGCAGGTCGTTTCGCTCCTACCAACCAGCAGTGCGTGTGAACGACATTGTCCTCCACAATTCACCCTGCCGCTGGCCTAAGCGCCGGAACTACCGCGGGGAGCTGGAAGTTTTGGGATGCTTGGGATGCTTGGGAGGTGGGTCAGAACATCCCAAAATCGAAGGTTTCACCAGTAATTTGGGATGTCTATGTTGTAGCTGCTATCCCATATGCGAGTATCAAGCGCATTTCCATAATCTGAAGGCAACATAGGAATGAATTTGAAGATGGCATAAATTCATGACTTTACTGAAAGGGACCTCGAGAATAAGGCGATGTGGGTGTCTATTGCCCAGATTTGTTGCGATGAATTAATGGCCTGTAAAAACTTGTTTTTTTGGTCTTATGGTGATGGGTCAATACCCTGGTAGCCTGAAGAACTAACACCATATGAAACACCAGCTGGTACATAGAACGTGGTTTAGGGTTTAGGGTTTGGTAACTATCGGCATCCATGATGGAAAGACCTATGCGCCAGCAATTCTAGCGTAGGAGGGCATCACCCCTTATCCATCCCCCCATGCCCATACGGCAATACCCTATATACAACACCTATAATACAGGACATGTTTGTGATGTATGTATATTGTATGTATACAAACCACCTATAAACAACACCCCATGTATAATCCGCCACCCTCCCTGCACCACAAATCAGTAGCCTTAATGTCCTGCCACCCTGTTCCGCCACCCTTCCTGCACCACAAATCATAGGTTTTGGTACCGGTTTGCTCTTCCAGATGTTTTAGCAGGCAGTGGGTCTTCCAATGTATATATATATACACATGTATATGCAATAGCAATACACATATAATTCCCAAGATTATTTTAACATACCTCTGGAAATCTCTGGAACATACCCCAAGTCTCTGCAACACCTTGAACGGGAAGTGTTGTAGGCACTCTTCAAACGGCATGGGGTAGGCTCTATGCATCTGTTGGATTTATCTTCGATGATCATTTGTCATATTTTGTCCAATCCCCACAATTCCCCAACTATGTGCTGGTGTATGTACTATATATGTAGATAATTGCAAATAATATCATTATATGTATATATGTATACAATTGTATACATACATCAGTATCCATGTATGCATACTCGTACATATCACATCTCCATATGTATGAAATCTATTACACAGTAGATAGAACAATTGATGTTCAAACATATTCCCATTTTAAGTGTGTTTGTTTTTTGAACTTCCATATTCTACTCGAGGATAACTAGAATCTTACAAGTACACATGGTATCACATGATAAGCAGTCTTTTCGGACCCAGCTTTCCCCAGGTCTGACGATGGCTCCAACATCAGTACCCCTTACATCGAGCATCTGCAAACGGCCTCCGTAGCATGTCCCAACGACTTGGCAGGGACCTTAGGCCTACGATGTCAGGACGGGCATTGAGAGATGGACCCGGCCGGTTGGTTGTTGAGTACCCTCTGGTAATTTAACATAACTATGGAAAATCACCATTTATAGTGAATTTTCCCATTAAAAATTGTGATTTTCCGTTGTTATGTTAGGTCACCGGAGGGTACTTCACTTTCATATTCAACATTATTCAACCATCCATTTTGGGTTGATCATGTTGACAAAAAAACACCCTAATTTCACCCAGACCCATTTTCTTTGGAGCGCATATTGGAGAGTGATGATGTTTGAGATTTTTGAGATGAAAAACTAGGTTGTGTATTTTCACAATTGCACGTTTGTTCGCTGAAAATCAATCTATTAGCTTTACAAACATATTGCACCTGCAGATTAGTATTCGCGGGATTTGGGAACCGGTCTGGGAACTGCTCAGTGCTCAATGTCATTGCACACATCATGTTGACATCTCCTGGATTCAAAGAGGATATCCCATAATCATACATAAGCAAATCATAAACTTATATAATTTGATTAATGCATGTCTATATTAGATGACTCATATTACGGATTTGAAGATCAGACGGTTTGTCTTAATGGTGATACAACCAGACCTTTCATTGTGGCGTTTCTGCCGGGCCCAAAAACATCCATCTCTCGTCTCTTTGAAAAATCATCGGTTGATCACCCTGTGGATCCAGCCCTTCTGAGTATTTGAGGATATTTGAGGTATGATTTAGGGGATTGAGATGGGTTATGTAGTTATATACATATATATATATATACAAGGTTATATAATGTTATATAATGTTATATAATGTTATATAATGTTATATAATGTTATATAAGTCATGAGAAGTCCCTTCTCAGGCAGCATCTGAATCCATAGGGATAGAACAAAAGCCAGAACCCCACGAAGCATCAGGACTACGAAACGATCATTTTCGACGGCATTTGTGGAGATATGAACTGTTTCTTGGATTGGGCAAGTCGTATGGACTTTGGCAGAATGAACAAACATAAGGAAATCAATGATGGTTGTTTTGTTTTCTACAGGTTGTACTACCAATCGCATGTCTGGTCATGAGTCTATCCCATCACCAAGCGTCTTGTTTTCCAATCTCTGCAGTTCGTATTTCTCCAAAAAGAGAGATGCCCCTACACTGAAGGCTAAGGTTCAGGATCAGGAGACCATTCTGAGATTCTGACCCTAAAAGTCCAGCTACAGTTTGGAGATTTTGCCAAATGATGGAAGCAATGTGGAAGGGGCTCGCCAAACCAATTTCACAAGGAGCCCCATGGATCGGAATCAAACATCCCGATGGGGCGGTTTTTCCCATGAAACCGTGGGTTTTAACATGTTTTAACAAAGTTTTAACCATGGTTTTTCCATGAAACCATGGGTTTTCCCATGGGTTTCCCCCATGGATTTCCCCCACGTCAGGCCGTGCGGGAGAGGTGACCAGCAACGGTGCCATCTTGCAGCACGAGGCCATCAACGACCAGCGGCGAGCTGGGCCTGGACGATGTGGCGATGGATATCTAGGGGAGCCTGTCTTTGAATGTCACCTGGTGAGATTTTAAGGGGGGATTTCGGGTTTCAATACGAAAAAAAAACATCAACTAAAAAAATCGGGATTTGATGCCACACAGAAAAGAAGCAAAGATCTGGGCGAGTTTATGGGATAATATAATATATATATTATCGTGAGGTTACAGTGATTTTATGGAAAAAAAATGGCGATGGTGTAGGAATCTGATGGAATGATCTGGGAATATCTTGGTGTTTTTGTTGGAATTCATAATGTCATAGGAATATGATAATATGATGAAATGAAACCATCAACATAAAAATGACGATCATCCAATATCGTCAATTCCTACTAAGTACAAATGTAGAATAAGAATGATGATAATAGTCATAAGAATAGTTACCCTTACATTTTTTGGCCCAGACAGGGGGTCAATAACCTTATAGAAAATTCACCCATGAATAGTACATAACAATATCACAATATCGATGTTTGATGATTTTTGGTCCATACACACATTCCCCCAACAAAAAACCTGGGGATTTCCCGAATGGATCCAAACGGTGGCTGGGGGTATGAACATCGTTTTACCACCTATTTCGGTCATCACCAAGGACTACAGTGTTAACCCATACTCATATTGAATGGATATGTGTTGGATGTTCAATGGACATTTATTGTTGCTGTGATGTTCGTTGATGGTTGATCATCATTGTCACTATCAAAATGGACATTTTGGGATATTGTAATATATATATATATATACACATTATAATACAGTTTCAGACCCTATATATATATATATTGTAATCCATTTTCAGACCCTCAATGGTCAATGGATATTTGACGGATTTCGATAGATTGAACATGTATTGTATTGATGCACCCTGTCATTTCATTGGTTTTCCACGGAAAATCTCAGAGATGCCCACGGGTCTCCGGGATTTTGTGATTTCCTGCGTCCCATGGCACCAGCTGATGTTGTTTCTGCTGTTGTTTCTGCTGTTTGTGGTTTCAATTGCTGTAGGAAAAAAAACACGTGTGCTTGAAAAAATATACAATGATGACATTGATGATTCAGATGATGATAGATTTTGATAGACCCAAAAGACTGCATTATTGTGTGATACGAAGGGAAGTGTATTCATATTCCACTCTGTGCGTGTGACCTTGGGCAACTCAGGTAAGGATGGTGTCGAAGCTTGACAGCACTGGAGGGTCGTGCTTGCAACTGTCATGACATTATGATATATTGAATGGTGCATGACTGGCTACCCTCCAGCAATCAAACACGGCAATGGATGTTGGCAGTTTTCAGTGGGAAATCATGGAACATATTATGGATATGTTTCTGGGATTTTCATGGATTTTCCATTTCCAGGTTAGATTAAATACCAGCTGGTGAAACATCACAACTAACACAAGCATTCCCAGCTGAAACTGCAGAGCATCTTTGGGGTCGGAAAATCGGGTGCCCCATTGCATCCGTTATTTGGGGATTGTAGTCCCCGATTTTCAGACAGACCCAAATAATAACTATATATAATTATATAATATATAACTATATATTTTGGATTGCTTGTGAAATCACCACTACATCCCCATTGTATCACCATTTCCCTACTTATGTAAATCAACGACATGGCCCCAACACAGCCAACACATGTATTTTCATGTGCGTTTTCAGGGCTGGAAAAAGACCCTTAAAGGGGCTATACTGAGACCTCGGTCCTCGTGGTGAATCTGATTCGTCAGCCGCGCATTCCGGGTGTGGACAATGCACCTTTGGCGTCTGAAAAAATGTGGGTGCGTCTTCAAATGGGGCATTATATACCCATACAATGATATACAATGGATTAAACTGGTGACTTTAGTGGAAACATGTTGTTCTAAGCGAGTGGATGGCATGGTATTCAATTGTCAGACAAACGCAACTGACTGATATTGACTGAAGGAATTTGAATCTAAGTGGAGAACTTGGAAGCTCTCCCCAAAAATCCCAAACGCAGGGCAGAAATGTGAGATGATGTGAGATCTCCAAGTCTTTTGATTCTTTTGTTTACATGCAAAGAAACCCAGCAGGTCAGGCTTTTATACCCCAAAAACTCTCGCCCACATGTTTTCACCAAGGTCCGTGGCTCAGTATGGGGTTATCCTCCAGGGTCATCAAACATGGCTTGCTAGAAAACCCTCATTTAGTTCGATGATTTTCCCAGTGATATACAAACCTCCATGGCTAGAACCCTTCCGGTATCCTTTTAAAAATGGTTGTTGGATCCATCGATTTTAATACGTATGGTCGGACAATCCATGTGTATCCATTTGTTTGATCCGTTTTGTTTCTGTTTTTCCCCATCTGCCAGGTGAGGGTCTCTAGATTTTAACAAAGGTGCAACTCCCTCACTCACTCACTCACTCACTCACTCAATACCTTCTTCCTCGCCGGAACCGATCAGCATGTCGCCATCTCCGGATGTAGTGGGCCACGTCTGGACCCGAACACCATTGGGCCCCAACCCTATTGCGAGCTCAATGCCGGAGAGAATGCCAGATAGAATGCCAGAATGCATGTCAGAATACATGCCAGATAGAATGCCAGAATGCATGTCAGAATACATGCCAGATAGAATGCGAGAATGAATACCTGCAAAGATGCTAGATTGACAGATACCACAACGAATGTCAGAATTTATGCAAGATAGAATGTCAGAATAGATGCGAGATAGAATGCCAGAATGAATGCCAGCAAAGACAGCAAAGATGCATACCAGAATAGATGCCGTATAGAATGTCAGAATAGATGCCACATTGAATACCAGAAATAAGTTTACTTAGAATGTCAGAGTATATATGCCAACATATACTTCCAGATGATATGTCAGAAACTATGTCAGAATAGTGTGTTAGGTTGGGGATCACTCGAAGTAAAATCATTTTACGTTTGCTATTCTTTGCCCATTTCACCTGTTTGTTTGTTTCTGCAGATTTTCAAGGTGAGCGAAGTTGGCTCGGGGTACAACTTTACGGAGGAGCGGCTTGGGAGCCTGGAGGATCTAAAGAGCCATCGTGGGGGTCACCGCAGTGTGCCCCATACCCACATGGTAAAGTGAATCGTGATCCAAAATAGGCAGGGGCAAAAGTACATGGGAGGTCTATTCCGGAGGTATGTCACGCGGCCTGACATGGCCTATGGTTTGCTTGCCGTAAATGTTTGATCAGTCAGATCCACCACATCACCGAGGAATGGTTTCCTGATTTTGTGCTGCTCAATCCACTCAAAGTTGAGTAGGTTTTCATTTCTCAGTATTCTCAGTTGTTTATTAAACATGATCCAAAATTGAGGTAGCCCTCTACCCAGATTACTATTTTAGTCAGTCTTTGATTGGGAAGATGTGGTTCAACCCAATGGAGCCCTGCAGGACGACCGCTTCATCCTGTGTGGATGTTGTCTGCCTCCGCCGCCGTTGCCGGAGGTTGCGCCCCTCGAAGGCTTAGACGCCTGGGTACCTCGGCCTCGAAATTATGGGGAGAAAATGGATCAAACCTTGGATTTGTTGATGTGTTCGCCCCAGAAAAACTTTGAAAAGTGGGGAGATCAAACAACAACTGTGATTTTTTTTCATGATTCAAGCGGCTAAAAAACTGATTTAGACCAGAAAATCAAGGATTCAATCAATAGACAGGGGATATCAACCAACCCAAATCTATGAAGGGATGAAACCTAAAGACACTCCTGGGAGTCAGGGATGTTTAACGGACACCAACATATTTTGAGGTACTCAATTCTGTTGAATATTGATCATTATTGATCCATATTCATGCAATTAGTCATGAAGTGGATGGACATCCATTGGGATTTCCCCGACAAACAGTAGAAGAGTCACCATCACAAATTGTAATTTTATCCAAACATAACGGGAACATCAAAACGAACAGTTGAACAAAGTCATGGTTCAACGGTTCAACAAGTTGGACATCCCGGTTGTACGTTGTCTCTGAGGTGGTTATCTATTGGGCAGCAGCCGTGGGAGGCGAGTTACCCCCCCCCTAACCTCTGATATTGTCAAAATATATCAACTACTCCGAACTGGAACTCTTGGTTTAGCATTGGATGCTTTAATTTTGTGTTTCTGATTGGGGGTGAATCCAAAGGGATGGGATTAGCAAATTGGCCAAATGTCTGAAATGATCAACTTGCCCAAGTTGGTCACCCTGCCACTTTGGAACTCTGAAGCAGGTGCTGGGTTCTTGATTGCCTTTGCTGCCGGCTACTGGATACATCACAAGCATAAGAATAAGAAGATCAGCAAGGTGCCAAGTCAGTAAGGGATGAAATGCACGGGTTAGCCCCTGAAGACGAAGTTGGAACCTGAAGGGTCTGGAAATGTCTGGAAGATTCGTTGAAGTTTTCTATTTTGAATTTCTGCAACGAATCCAACTTGTTGAGTTGCTCGGGGGATAAGATCTGGGCCCCAGGAAGGAAGGTTGGTTGAGTCTCTTGAACCGTGCAGTATGAGCGGTCCCGGTGTGGACTCTACGTTGCTCACCAAATGCACCTTGCAAATGATATGCAATAAGGATACCATGATACCCGTGGCATATTTTTTGCCATGCCATTTGCATCAGTCTGGCATGGTCTCACCCTTTCGACGAGACACTGTGCCACCATGTCAGTGGAAGCCGGTGTTTCAATTTCTGGAAACATGTGGTTTTACAGACCCAAGCAATCCCAAGCACTTGAAAGTTATCTCTTGTTATTTCCGCATTTCGGTTGAGCCAGTTTTAAAAGGGTGATCGTTTCCAAACCTTGGGAAACACATGTTTCTCAACCACAAAGGTGGGTGTGTGGACTGCCAAAATTGGCGGTGTTTCACCAACTAAAATGGGAATAAGACAAGATCTTCAAAAATGGGGATAACTTGTTGATAACTTTATTTCTTTGTTTAACCAACCAATACACTTCCCAACATGTCAGCATAGGAAGGTACCATGACCAGTTGTCTCCTGATCCTTGGAGGTGACTCCTGAACCGAAGATGGACCACATGGTACTTCCGGAGGCGAGCTTAAAACGGCTGGGAGGTTCACAGGGAGAGATCGTTTGAGATTTTTTCAGAGCTAACTGGAAGCCAAGGCCCATTGATAGATGATTTACATCAATTTTTACGCTGATTTACCCATTAGAGCTTATGCACTTCTATAAGTTATGTTACCAGAGGGTGATCCAAAAGAGTTGGGGACCTTCAAAGTCGCAAGAGGAAGGCTCGCTTCATAGAGATTTGCCCCAGATAAACAAGTTGGAGACCTGGGAATTATGGAGGAAATATCATTTATAACCTCCTGGAAACAGTTGTTCTTCCTTTTTTGGGGGACTCCCTTTTGATGCAGATGAATGAACCTTGAAGATCCAAGCTAGCGGTCAGCTGCCACGGATAGGATCAACTGGCTTTGCCGGATGATGCCGCTTGACTTCAAGTGATTTGTGGCTTTGAAGAGTTGCAAAAGTGTTGCAAGTTGAGTTTTCTTGATCTCCAAACTGATGCGACATGATGCGACCATTGATGTCCATTGCCTTCTTATTGAATGCTGTGGAAGATGCATTATCCACGCACAGCCTTGCTCAAAGCTGTCAGAGTCAGGGCTTCCATCGATTCACTCAGATTTCAGCCATGCCAAAGGCACCAACGGCACCAATGGCACCAATGGCACCAATGGCACCAACATTCTCAGGCCCTTGCCGCGGAGAAGAACATCGCACGGAAGGAGACGCTACGAGACTTTTTGATGGGGGAGGTGCCCAAGATCGTGACCTATGAAGTGTACCCGGTAGATGGAGGGTTCGTTTCAGATGTACAAGTCGGAGACCATTTGCACTTCAAGGGCGCGCATACCGCAGCCAATGAAGATGAGGCAAAGCGTTCCGCGGCAGTTGCGGCGCTGTGGGAGCTCCAATGGGAGCCGGTGACAAAGCCTTCTGCAAAAAGCCTCCGAGGCAACCAAAAGCAGCTCAGGGGTCACTTTGAATTTGCTGCCCCGCACACACAGGTGAAAAAGGTCATGAACGAGGACATGTTGCGATTGTTAAAGAAAACCCATGCCAAAATTAAGCTGCTTGGCTGGGATGAGAAGGACAATGACCAAGACTTGTTTCTCTACATATCCGGAAGAGAAGACCGCTTTATGAAAGTGGTCTATAAAGTGAATGCAATGCTGAACAATATGCCAAAGCGTTTGCGGCCCAAAGCGGCCTTGCACATGGACAGCTAAATTTGATTAAATTTGGCTAAATTCTCGTGTGCAAAGAGAGGCGCTTCAAGTTGAGACAGTTTGTTAGACACCAAATCATGCACGTTGCAGTGTTGTAGTGACTTGAGAGTCATGACTGCCATGGCTTCAAGTGACAAGTTGCCGCTGGGGTGCTGCATGGGGGAATGTTCCGTTGTCCTATTTTGACCGCCTAGGACTATGGAAACAACCATCAGCTGGCCATCAAGGACAGTTCCGCGATGTTTGCTGTTCAAAGCATTGCTTGACCATCAATGAAGATGCCTACTGGGTGCCCAGGAACATCGAAGATATAAATGATAAATGATATGTATAATCATATTACATTAACGCAATATTTATATATTAGTGAAGTGTTTATTTCTTATATATTTTTATATTTTTCGCTTTGGGATGGAAGCTACTAAAAAAGAGATATTCTTATTGTTAGTGTGGGGTTATGAATGTTATGGCTGACGCAGCCCATTTTCCTGCTATTTTCAGTTTCATATTAGCGTAGCTGGGCTTTGATCGATTACACTGAGGTTGTGTCACATGGAAAAAATAGTTGGATGATCAATGATGAATAGCTATGCGGTAAATAAGTTCATGCAATCAGGAAAACCGTCGGGATCGTCGGGAATCACCAGTCACAATTGGGCATAATATGTGGCTGCACATTTGCAGTTGCATTTCATTGAATGGCGCTGCGTTCCACCGCTGTCGATCGCACAAAATCATAGACATCAACTACCCATCATTGCAGTGTATGTAGTATCACATTGCACACATTGACATCAGAATTATTGTCACCTGACATCACATCACATGACAGTAGACCATACCATGTTTGTCATATCACATCACCGTATATTTTTACATCACATCGTCACCTCACATCATATGACCGTGAACATGTTGACATTGTCACATCGTTTCACTTCACACATCACATCTCGTAGAAATACTTGTATACTTGTAATATTTGGACCTGGTGCGAACTAGACAGACGCTACATATGCAGCAGGCCCATGCATGGAGGTGTCGGACATGCACGTTTCAGCAGACCCCCCTTTCCTGTAGGAACCAGCGGCTCCGGAAAGCCTCCGGGACGCCCGGGACGACGTTGGCAGGTCAGATCTGGGATATTCACGAACCAACACACCATGGATATAAACTATAATATCTACAATAAGGGTATTCAAAAACTTTCAAAAATCAGCATAGTATTTGATGATCTAGGATCGTAATCACCATTGTATTCATCAAACAGTATGTGATTAATTACAGTACTGGTGATGATTGGTTGATGATTACTGGTGGTTACTACAGATCCTTTGCTGATTGGGATGGATTCACCAAGTCAGGATGGCTTCTGCGACGCCCCCGGCCTCCATGGCGCCTTCGGCTTCGGGCACCAAAAACACGCCCATGCCGCAGATGCTGAAGCCCAGACGCGAGGGGACCAACAAGGAGAGCCATCCCTGGGGCGGAAGAAAAGAAAGGATATGGAAGGATGATACAGGATGTAAACCGCAAAGTGTTGTGATGTGGAAGAAACATGACTTCAGGAAGTTCAGGTCACAAAATGTGTGGTGTGATGATCTGCAAAATGAGGGGTTTAAGCAACAAAGACAGAAGTGGTGGACCGACAAGCAAAGTGGGTTTAGCTAGCACAAAGGGAGTCTCTTAAATTGATATGTATCAGGGTCCAAGCGATTCAAACAACCCAAATGGTTGCCAATGCATGGAACCAAGAATGGATTGGAGCAGAATGATGTCACCAATGGAAATAGTTGATCTGGGTTATACCCTGCACATGTGAGTGTGATAGTCAAACAGGCATGCATACTCAAGCAAGGTTGATTTATTGAAAAACCACCTGAACACTCAGCCAAAGGGAACATTGAACATCAGTTTCCATTGAACGGGATTGAAATGATGTAAACCGATGAGCTCTACTTGCAAGGCTGTCAAACATGGTCAAACAACAGTGAAATGACATGCCAAGTATTTTACGACGAAGAAGACAAGGCCTACTGCTACGGATTGAAGCAACCGTACTTTGATGTGATATGCATCAACCTCACTACAGCTGGTGATGGTGTTGCATGCTGCACCTGCTTGGATGATATTGGGTACAACTTGCTTTCCTTGGTCGGACTGTGCCTACATTTGGTGGGTGGGTGGTGGACAGGTCCATGGCAGAACATGCAGCTAGGCAGCTTGTGACTAGGTATTTTGTGGTATTGCCATCCTGCTGAATTGGCGCCGTGTCCTTCCCTAATTTCTTACGTTTTGATATTGGTGATCCTTGCCAAAAGGAAACTGTTGTGTGGCCTTTCCAAATGTTGTCCTTAAGTAATTGCCCCGACTGCCTTTGATTTGGGAACGGCTCAACAATTATCCCCCACCAAAATGGATGCTTGAATTCAACAAACTAAACAGTAGACATATAAACATGACCAATCTAATTTTGGTGGGTGACATGTATATATGTCCCATAGCCGCAGCATGCTATAGCCATTTGGCAGGTCAGACTCCCACGAAGCCAGGACTGGCAGTATTGGTGAGACCGACTGGTTCCCAAATGGGATGAGTTTCACGACAATGCGCGCGACTCACGGGAAGGTCCTGAAAGGATTCCAACGTGTGTCAAGCCAGAAGGGTGGCTAGGATGATGCCACTTATGAGTGAGTGAATGTCATTGATATGTGCGAAGTCATGATCACTAGTGACTAGTGACTTGCAATTCTTATTGCCATTTTTGAAATTGGGCTTTCATTGGGATTTGGCACCATGTCATGGTACTCGTATATCTAATTTATTCTTATTTTCAGTTGAGGTCTGTTTGGGGTACAACTGACTGACAACCACGGGCTGCGTTTCAAGGTAAAACCTGCCTATTTCATTGATGGTTTCAAGTTCCGTTGCTTCTGTGACTGAGATGTTACTGACAGATTTCCTGAGAAGGTTCACAACAGTTCACGACGATACTTGGTTTACCCTCCGGTCATTTCACACAACATCACACAACTATCTGGTACGGATGGCCCCTTTATAGATGGTTCCCACCTGAAACAAAACGCGGAGATGGAACAAAAGGGCGCCTCCAAGAAGTTTCACTTGAATCTGTTTTCCCATGGTTTCCCATATGGTTTCCCATATGGTTTCCCATATGGTTTCCCATGGTTTCCCAATATGGCAGGGGCTTCAACAGGTCAACAGGTCGACGAAGAATTCAGACATGAGATCAGCTGCAACTCAGCCACCACATCCTGGCATCCAAGCAGACAAGCGCCAGCAAAAAAGGATGGCTGCTGGACATCCCTGGCTTTTAGTGCTCACATTCCATGGACGTGCTCTAAAACAAGTACCCTCTGGTAAACTAACATAGCGAACTGGAAAATCACTATGTTTTAATGGGAAACTCCACTATTTCTATGGCCATTTTCAATAGCTATGTTAAATTACCAGAGGGTAGACTGTAAATAAAGGAATTCAACAAGTGTCCCATAGTCCGGAATTCCAAGGGTTTGGGAGTAATTACTTGTCGTAGATGTTCTTTTTGTCCCAAGCCGCGTTTGTTTAGAGGGTTTATCAACACCTATCTAAGCAAAAGGGAAGCCATAAAGAAAGTGCTGTAGATGTAAGACATATTCTCTGCAACAGCAGTGTTGGCTATCCATTGTGGAGCTGTGACAAGGAAGTGATTCTCAACATTTGCCGGCATCTTGGAGCAATTCAACCAGTCCAAATGTGATTTGTGCATGTGCCTAGACCTAGAAGTCAAAATTGTAACCCCCCCCATTAACTCAGACAATGAGCATGTTCCGTCAATTTTGTGGGTCTATCTGGGCTCCAATTTGGACCTATATATACGGATATTGTTTCTATGACATTGGAATCCTGTGACCTAGTAGAAACACAGCTGGTATTTGATGCATCACATGCATATCGATTCATGTATATAATCGTCAAGGACCTACCTCTATCTAGGCATCTATGTCAATAGGCTGACTTTGGGTCTATCAATCTCCATGCAGTCTCGCATAACCTTTGTTGCCTGTATCTCAATATGACATGTATCTACGAAAAAACATCCCACACCTCTATCTCCATGATACCTATGATAAATTATGAATAATTATCTATAATTATGATAGATTATGAATAATTAGTAACATTCAATACCTAAATTATGATAGGTATTGAATGATATTGATAAGAGTGGTTGTGTTTACTGGCGACAGATGTGCTGCCCTTTTCAGCTCAAAGAAGCTGCGGCCTGACAAACAGAGTACAAAACAGCCTCTGTACTGTTTAACGATCTTTTGGGATGTTAAGTTTAGCATTCTGTTCAGATATCATAGATAATCATAGATCTTCATCCACATTCCAATTCAAACATGTCCTTCCGAAAACTCACAGTTGAATTTCAGACTCTCAAGTGATGCTGCCCTGCGCAGCATTTGGCACGGGCGTGCCATTGCAAACGTGTGGGGCCTCGCAATGATGCGCTGGAAATGTCCTTCCAATGGCTTTTGCGGCCCTCTTCCAGCCGCCGAGTGCGAGGGCGCCTTGGACTGCGGTTTTGATCGGTTGGGGGGTACCAGCAGACTTGTCATGAGTCGAAAAGATTTCAAGCCTGAGGCCGGAAACATGTGGAAAGCATCGGCCCGAAGCGCTGCACTTTTGCCATAATACTAGATATAGTTCTCAGTCTAAGGCTTGAAGAATGATTGGTAAGTTGGAAGAGAACCTCTTACATCCTCCTACAATCCTCTTATTGAAGAGGAAACTACACCGAACTTGTGGTTTTTAAGTTTCGACCGTCCATCTTTCCGGTGGCCAAGATTTTGCTCGCCCTGAAGATCCCGGAAGTCATCCAGAGAATATAGTGGATGCTTGATGATGTTGAAAGACCTTCGGAGAAAACAGGTGTTTCTTCTCAGTATCTTTCATGTTTTCCTCTGCGCCAAAACTCCATTCAGGACTTCCGCCCCCCTGCCCCTGATGCCTTCGCTTCCCTCTTCACGAATGTGGGCCCTCCGCCTTTGGAAGAGGATCGTAGCAAGCACTGGGAATAATTGGAAAGGTAAATATAGGAGATTTGCACACATAAAACAAGCTATGTCATGGGTGTTTAAGTGGGACTTTCACTCGGGCAGTGTAACTAACTTGGGATATTTAATGGGGTGTAACTAACCAACAACATGATATTTGTGTAGTGTGTTTGTGTGGAAATGGAGTATACCGGATATACATATTATACATATATATATATACACACCGTTAAAATTCTTTAAGTTGTGGCGGAAAAAAAAACATAATTATATAATTGCTGCAACGATGACCCATTGGATTTTGGGACACCTAATTTTAACGTACCGTATATAATATAATATTATATTATATATATATAATCCAAATAATACAAACATATTAAACTGAGGATCATACTGAGGATTCAAGGCTCCATGGTCCCCTATTCGCTTTGCGCAAATTGATTTTATTCTGGTGCCTCGACCTTTCAAAAACAGCATCCTTGATGTCACTTCCAGAACCGATATTGCATTTAACAGTGATCACAGCTTCATTTCCGCAAAACTGCGGTTAAGACAGAGCTGGTTCGATAGTCCCAAGGCTTGCAGCCAAAAGATACCACAGCCCCAGTGACATCCAAAAACAAAACTACAATGATCGGATAAGGGCATACTTCACATTTGAGAATGACACTCCGGAGAGCATATTTAATGCTACAAATTTTGTTTTGGCAATGAAAAAGGCTGCTGAAAACACTTTACCCCAAAAACACAAAACGCAAAACCAACCTTACATTAGTGAAGCAACTTGGCATCTGATTGAAGATAGGCAACAAGCACGTACTGAGGGAAACATGGCTGAAGAACATAGACTCAACAAAGACATCGCAAAACAAGCAAAAAATGGTAACAAAATTGGAAAATTCAAAAATTAGGAGACCTTACTGATCGCCGAGGATGCTAGAAGAACATCAGGTTCGAAAAATTAGCATTCACCCCAAGCTTTTACAATATATGAAGGATATAAGCGGGAATAGAGTTCCGAAATCCCAAAAAGCCGACGCAATTGCAGAATACCTCCATTACAAATAATGGAGGCCAAAGCAAAACCCGGTGCCAGCCAACAACCAAAAAGCACAAATCCTCCATAATGTTCAAGCAAAAACCGGAGACTTAGAGTATTTTGAAGTGGTAAAGGCCGTCAAAAAACTAAAAACCAACAAAGCACCTGGTCCAGACGGAGCCGTAACTAACTTTTCAAGTTTCTTGACCAAGATAACGTGATTTCTTTGACTGAATGTTTGAACAGTTTCTGGCAAATTAAAAAGGTTCCAGATGAGTTTGTACAGGCACACATTGCAAGCCTTTACAAGAAAGGAGACCACGAAAACCCTGAAAAGTATCGTCCAATTTCACTACTGAATATTTCATACAAGATTTTTGCATCAGTCCTCAAGTCAGGTAAGTTTGGCGGAAGGACTCGAACAACACATCAGTCCAACATAGTCCAACTCAGTTTGGTTTTCGGGAGGGTAGATCAACAGTGGACCCATTATTATGCATAAGGAGACTTACAGATGTTTGCGAACAAGGTAACAAAAAACCTGGTTGGTGGTTTCAAACATTTTTTATTTTCCATAATATATGGGATAATCCTTCCCATGGACTGATATTTTTCAAGATGGTTAAAACCACCAACCAGAAACTCATTTTAGTTTTCTTAGATTTGGAAAAAAAAACCTTTAACAAAATTAGCCACGACTAAGATGTCCCTCTCCCTTGAAAGATTGAATTATTATTCCCAGCGATCTTCTTAACGCCGTCAAATCTATCTACAACAATCCGACATTTCAGGTAACCCACAGAGACAAATTCAGTGCCTGGCTGCCTCAGAGAACTGGCATACGACAAGGGTGCCCTTTAAGCCCATACACACTATGTTCCATGATGTTCAAAAGAGGTACAACGACACTCGACATTCCAAATCCTTCCAAGGTTACGCGGATGATACATTAATCGTGGCAAAAAGCTTTGCGTCATGATACTAAATATCTTCATTTGATTGAAGAAGAATCTGATTATTTGGAACTAAACCTGAACAGATCAAAATGCTGCTACGTCGCGTACAACTGTCAAGGACAAATTCGTTTCCAAAATGGAGAGCCCATGAAATCTTCAGAGGAAACCGCATATTTGGGAGCGTCCGTCACGCAGCACATTGACCCTAGACATGAAAATCAGAAAGAGAATCTCTGCTACAATGGCCATACTCAAAAAGTGGACCTCTTTGGGATAAAAACGCATTGCAGCAAGAAGTGGAAACTACTCGTTTTCAACGCCGTCATCACTTCTAAAGTCCTTTATGGCTTGGAAACTTTGGATCCCACGGAAGCAGCTGGAAGGCTACTAAGCACGTTCCAACTATTTCCAACCAAAGGGTTTGCGAAAAATTCTAAAACTACACACCACGTTCGTGCAGCGCAACAATTCCAATGAATATGTGTATAGAAGAGCCAATGAAACTCTCATCGCACCATCAGAAGGACCTGGGAGACAAATCAAACCGCAAACCGAAACTTTAGAAGACTGAAAACTGAAACTTCTTGGGCATGTCTTGAGAAGGGACAGGCAACATCCACTACACCAAGCTGCGTTCTCCACAAGATCCGCGCTCCCACGGGAACCGAACACAGAAGACGAGGCCGCCCACGACAATTCTGGACAACTAACAATATGAGTAAAGCATGGGAAGTGATTCAAACACATGATGCTACACAACTGCAAATACCATTCGACAAGAACAACCGATCGATACATGAGAGGATTATTGAACAAGCACAGCGATACCAACCCCCATTCAACAAAGGAAACCCAGTGTGAAACATTTGCTCAATGTGAAACTTTTGCTCAGTGTGACACCTTTACTCAGTGAGAAACTTTTGCTCCGTGTGACACCTTCACTCAGTGTGAAATTTTGCTCAGTGTGAAGTTTTTGCTACATGGGAAGATTTTGTTTCATTAAGACACTATTCGTACCAATCAGTGAGCGAGGCCCTAGGTTCTTGATAGTAGGTAGGAAGCGGATTAGTGCCTACGACCTGTGGCAATGTCCATGCTAGGTTATGGCAGTTTTAAAAAATGGGTTCAAGAGTTGTGTATGTGAAAGATCCCCAAACTTGAGGGGCGCAGTGCTTCGAAATCGCCGTGGTTGGAGATGATCCATGGTAGCTTCCGGGTCTTGGCTGGGGTTGTTTGATCATAAATCCTCGATATCTTACGAATTCCAAATGCAAAAAGACACTTAAACCATTTCAAAACAAAAAACTAGCGAAATCAATCTATCTCAAGATACTGTATGTCGACCTAGAACTAGAGGAACTTCACCTGAGTTGTTCCCGACACCTGCGCTTGTGTGGCAGGATGCACTAGCGGCCGATGAGCAAAGTGCAGAAGAGAGACTTCTAACGAGGCCTCTGATGGGGTAAACAGTTCATGACCGAAGATATTGGCTGAGAATCAGCAAAACTTCCGACATGGTGGTGTACCACATATATCCACATATTATGTATAGAATCGGAATTGCATATACAGAATACAGTCATTGACAATTGACATGGTCGTTGTATTGTGTCATGTTTTCTTGTCAGGAACGATGATTCAACGGGGAACGACAAAGAAGACGTTGGGTTTCCTTTCCAAAAAATATGGGAGCATAAAAAATGTTTTTTAGAGTCCAGCGCAAAATAATTAACGCATATTAACGCGGATATGTTTTTTTTGTGATCTCAACTATTCTTAACGTCCATCCTCATGATGCCATATTATGCCCAATGACTCGTATTTTCACTGCCATGGGGTATTAACAGAATCCTTTTCTTGGGCACCCCATTTTGGACCCTTTCCCGCGGGATTGAAGAGCTAGGATGTGAAAACAAAGTGAAGACCAGAAGGAAGAACATTGCATAACATTGCCATTTCCAATAGGACAATGACAATTCAAGAACCCCAAGTTTGCAACTGAATCTTTTTCAATAACCATATAGTATCCATATAGTCATATTGAGTTAGGTGGGATAACCTACTGGGACTTACTAACCGTCATTAACCACTTTCTTGAACAGACTTGACTGGCAGGGGAAGTTTCTCTTCACTAATTTGTTGAAGGAAAAAGGATTTGATAAACTGCATTCTTATGGCATACCGCCATATATACTACAGGTATGTGTATACTTAGGTATGTATTTTTATGTGTGTGCAATGTTTTCATGTCTCATTATGATTATAACTTATAACATTGACATTTGTTGTGATTGTCATGTTCTTAGCTTCATTTTGGCCATGAAAGGCATCCAAAAAAATGTCACCCCGTTGATGCTAACAACTCCCTGCTCCAGTATGCAAACGATCAGTTTCGGACTCCTTGATTTTGACCCATCCGGACCTGAATCCACTGATGTGTGTGTCCGTGTGGGTTTGCCCCCCCAAAAAAGATCATGTATTTATTACTATTTAATCCATTGGTTTTTAACTTGAGTAACTTGATGGTCCCTTTTACACTAGCCATGCATCATCATCCACCCCATTTTCGGACGGGTCCAGGTCGTCGGAGGCGCAGCAGACGAGACACCCGTTGAGATTCACATGTCGAGGCAGGAAGATGTTGCGTTGAGATACCCGTTGGGTCAAACAAATGGGAAGATTATTTTCCAGACCAAGACTGACCCTCCGGTGATTTAACCTAGCTATGGACCATGATATAGCTATGTAAAGAGAAAATGTGATTTTCCCATAGCTATGGTACAAATTACCAGAGGGTATTCTGTTCATTTGTTGGGATATATGGCCCAGTTGCATCCAGATGCTGGATCCAAAGACAAAGATCTGCAGAGGCCAAATCATTATCCACGAAAAAGACCCTCAGACTGTTTCACAGCAACAAGTCCAAAGTTCTAGAGCAACATTGCCGCTGTGTCACAGTGTCCAAATAGGGAATCACATATATTAAGATAGAACATCTATATTTGATTATATTAATATACGTATATATATATTAGATATATATTGTACTCTATGTATAATAGCATATGACCGAACATAATGACATTTCATATGATTTCTATATTTTTTATTCAGATTTCATATCGGTCATCCATGTCTGAGATTTGGCGATCCTGGCGAGGCCTTCTCCCTTGGGTGTCAGCTTCATGTGCCCTGTGCCTCGGCGGCCTCGAAGCATGGGGGTTGATGGAAAACCCCATGGGATTTTGATGGAAAAAAAACACTGAAACACTGACATGTTATGGAAAAAGCCATGGGATTGTATGGAGAAACCTATAGAAACCGATTTTCAAACAAATCCTATAGAAATATTCCCAACAAGTTACAACATATTCGGTGAGGTCAGGAACGGTGATCAGCCCTTTGGTTGATCCCGGTGGAGGACTCGGTCCTGTTGGAAATTAATAGAAATTGATAAATACGTTGAGTTGGTGTATTCAGTGTATTCTATGTGATTGTATAATAACTGCTATACCACAATGTATCATATAGTTGTTTATATATATATGTAAAACAATATCATATCATATTATATGCTTGTTTTATTATGTTGCATATCTTTATCATATCATATCATTGTTAGTTTGCCTTTCTGTTGGGTAATAAAGGAAACATCTTTGATGCTAAGCGGCGAGGCTGGCTCTGATCGTGCTGAGCGGACGGATGCTGGCGCCAAGGGGAAGTTTTCAGGCGGGCTCCGTGGCAAATGTCAAGGATGCTGCTGACCACTAGATATTAATGTTAGTAAAGCACGGGTAAACCTCACTTTTACCATGAGTTGGTATAAATCGTCAATCCATATGAGTGGTTTATTGCTTTACTAGCATTACTACTCAAATATGATTAGATTATATGGAGGTTTCCTAAAATGGGGGGTGCCCCCAAATGATCCAAATTGGCCCTTTTGGTATTGAAACCTTTGGTGACTTGGGGATCCACCGTTGTAGGAAAACCCCATGTATGAAGGATGTCTGAACATGGCCTATGAGCTTGGGGCAATATATATATATATACACAGGAATGAAATCACACTTTGTGACATAGAAGTGTATGAATTGTATAAATATCATGTACATTATGAATGTATAATATTACATATGTTTGTGTGTACACATATTTACCATATATCTTGAATGTATTCAATATCATGTTGTGTGCAATCAGCCTTTGAGAGCATCTATGAGTTTCAACACGTCCATTCACATAAGATGAGCGTGCAAGGTGCAAGGTATGATGTGCAGTACATATGTCTCTCTCTCTCATATGTGCTCTGACAGGTCTGTGTGTCGCCTGTGCGTGCCCTCTTGAATTTTGCCACGATTCATAGACATGGACAGACAGAGAGAGAGAGAGAGAGAGAGAGTGAGGGAGAGAGAGAACCCACCCCACCAATGTTGAAATGTACAGAGCTTCTCCAGAAACAGTTATGATATCTCAAACTGGTACACGAAATTGCACTTACATGCACACGTGAGTTTTCTTCGATCCTCACAAGCAGGGGGAGTCCTAAGTTCAAGAAGCCCAAGAAGTTTAGGGCATAGGGCTTTCACATTTCCACATTTTGGATTTATATGTAGTCACAAGAAAACTCGAAAACTGACAGAACCACCTTTACTATATTTGCAGGGTCCAACCCATGATTTCCCTTTTGGAACCCCCAGAAATAAGCCAACGTGAGTGATGATTGGTGACCTTGACTCCCTTGGCATGGCTCCACCAACAAGCTGCAGGCCTTTCTTTTGGAAGGCTGGGAGCCAAGATTTCCAACGTGTGCCTTCGGCTCAATGGACTGATAGATCTGATTACGAAAGATGGATGGCTGGTAGCACTGTAGCTGAATCTTGGTGGTTTCACTGATTTCTTGTTGGTTTCCCAAGTTTCTTGTATCCCAATTTGCTGTGATTCATCCAACGACTGATAAGATCTGATAAGGTTTTGGGGATGTGGGTTGGCTCGTTCGACATCCCGAGAAAACAGCGGGACTGTTGCGACACAGCAGATATTCTGCTTGGAAATAGAGATTTCATAGTTGCTGCACAATGCCGAACATATGGTTTTGTCTGAGAATAGGGTACATCCCTAACCCCCTGTGTATGAAATACCCCCTTTGAAACCCAGCTGGTTTATATAGTATTGGATCTATTCATTTCGGGGGAGGGATTACTCAACATCCCAGGCTTAAGCCAACATGTTTTCGTATTTTTCGTTACCAACATTGCCATTTTGGGCGTATCCCCATTTTGTTTGACAAAGCCATAGAAACAAATCGTGCCGCAATTGTGCTCCTGGTCCTTTGTGATCTTCTTGACATCAGGACACATCTAGGGTATCTTTCATTGGCTATTTGGCTATGGATGTTTATCCCTCCAAACTCTGAGATAATTTATGGTTTGATCCATCCCTATTTGGGTGTCTGAAAGTGGGCTATACCTCCAATCTATGTGAAAATCAGGGAAAATGAGGTTTCAAACCATGGGATTTGAAGGACCTGAATTTCACACAAACCAATTTCTGATGCCAAGCAAGTTGAGCCAGTTGAGCCGTTGAGGCGAAGAATTTCCGAACCTCGATTTTCTTTGGGTGGCTTGGAAATTCAAGCTGTGAATCTGTGAATCCATGAAGATTCCGCGGATCACCGATGCAATGGCCAAAGCTTGTAGTGATCGTTGGTGTTTTCCTATTTTTGTTTACATACCGTTGGACCCACCTTCACATTGTTCATAGTTTCCAATGCCATATTTTGAAGGGTGGAGTCGTTTTGTCAGAATCTGTTCATATCATGTCATATCAAGTTGTGAACATTATCCCCGACAGATCCAAGTACTTGTACTTCCTGAAAATGTATATTTAACCCCTAAATCATACTCCAAATACTTTTTTCAGAAGGTACAGTACTCGTGCGGCTGGGCTACATGTACATATGCATGATTGTACATTATTGTATGAAATTCATTGAAATTCGATATCTATATACAATTATATAAGTATAATTAGATGATATTAGATACATGACATAACTACATGTGTGTGTTCACGTCGCGGCATACCTTATCGGGACTGTGGGACGATGATCTCCTTTTTCGAGGTTGCTCACAGCAACTTGAACAACCTGGGTCCAGACCGGGGTGCAGAGGGCCTCGTGTACCGCGTCAGCCACTGTGTCAGAGTCGACCGTTCTGATGTCGTCATGATGAAAAGTGTGGAAGGGCTTTCCATAAATGGGAAATTCACCCAAAATCGTTGGTTTATAATGGAAAATCATGGAAAATCCTATTTCAATGGATGATTGAGGGGTACCCCCATTTCAGGAAACCTCCATGTGATTCATGTGATTTAATTAGTCGTTCAATAACGAATTGAAATGGCCATGTTGATGGGGAAACTGAGGCTTAAGTCCTGCAAATCCATATTTTAATATTGTTTCTGGGGTCAAAATGGTGCTGTTTCAAAATGGGTAGCCCAAAATGCATCCCGCAGTTATCATCATTTCCCCCATTCAAGTGACAATGCATGACAATGCATTACGAAATCTCCCGCGTTGAGACAACCCCAAATAATAATAGTTACGACATGTTACAACAACTTCCAAAACTGGAATACCTTTGAAATCCTTTGGCCCATCGAGCTGTTGAGGAGCATCCCTGGGGTTGCACAGACTTCCCCATCTGTATCGATAGTCACAGTAATCTCGAGCAAGATTCAAACCATCAACACGACAAAAGATAGCCTAGGCCTAGAGTTTCTTGAATCTCTAAACAGCCAAGTGTTGCTCTAATTCATCGGATCTTCAATATCATTTTGAACACATCTTGCTGATAGCGTCCAAGGAAGTTACAAGGGCGAGCACATGGAGATGGTGTTCCCTGGCCTTAGATGCCTTAGATTCTGGTTGAAGCTCCGACAAGTCGCTCCCTTGTAGCCTAAGGTTCAACGCGATGCACGATTTCAAGGCCTTTGATTCTAAGATGTTTGGACTGCATGGCTTCTATGGCTCATTGAATGTGGTCCCTTGACGGAATTAGGCGAACTTCAAGCAGCTTCAGGTCTCAGAGCGGGAAAAACTGGGAAAAACTGTAATTACCTAAGATGTACCAAGCAAGAACTTGGATATCAATGACAGACCGTTTTACCTAGTTGGTCCTGTCTTTTTCCTCTCAACCTCAGCTTTCTCATCAGCAAAGCCAAAGCCACTGAGATGGAGCGTTCGAACGCGCACTTGAAGGTCACCTTCAAAGATTGGGAGACCAAGAAGCCCGTGACAGTGGATCCTGGGCGCAGTGGTTACAGGGCACATGGATTAATGGGGATCAATTGGGGTGTGAAGATAAATAAGATACACGATGCTTTCAAGTTTGCTTCTTCATGAATATTTAGAAGTATGAAAACAGCCGCCAGCGCATGTATGCCTTGGCCCACATTTCAGGTTTTCAGCAGATTGCATCACATTACGGGTGGTTTTTCCACCCTAGGATGATCCCCAATGGACCCAAAAACATCAGGGATTCCAGGGATAAGGTGAAACATGTGAAACGAGCAACTGGATTGTGACATATTGTGACCCATTTGGCTATGGATCAATACCTATTAATACCATTTTTAGGGGGATGAACATCCATTTACCAGCTATTTTGATGTTCACCAGGGGTACAAGGTTTTGACACACTGCCATTTGTGACCCTAGTTTGAAGATTGTGACCATTGCCTGCAACAATCGCTTCCGCATCAAGTGCCGGCCGAAGAATGGCACTGCTGAGCGGCGCTTGAGCCAGAGCTTTTAGACATCCATTATCGCAGCACAAAGACACACTGGACCTTGGGCACTCTTGAATGTCCAGGTTGTGAAACACCCTCCCTTGCTCTATCAAAAAGAGTCCTACACAAGGCAAACCAGTTCCGTCCACATCAACATGTCGAATTATATACGTATTATATATTGTAATACTTTGTTATTGTTTCGCTGCCGTGGAACACAGAACATTTTGAGACATTCCAAAACTGCCAGTGTCCCTTTCAAACACCATGGATTTGCACACAGCCTTCAGGCACAGCGGACCCATGCGTGGGAAATCGTTCCACGTCGGGTAGTATTGGATATATGATGATATATTATCATATAGTATCATATTATTTGCTCATATTTGCTCATTATAATTAATTATACATGGATAATCATGGATATACATGGATTATATCCCCAAAGTGGTTGTTTTTCAGATCCCAGAGAGGTGATCCTCTCTGTTCAACATTGGGAACTTCGCCACGGCCATGGAGAGATTTGACGGAGACGGCCTTGGCGACAAATGATCAACAGGTCTCTGAGTCACTTGGTATGCGTCCATTATGGCAGGGGTTTCTTGCGCCATGGACTCAGCAGGAAACAGATCAGAGATGCTTCCAAGATCTTCCAACCAAGTTGAGTTTGTTGTTCTTGCAGGGATGGCAAAAGGGATAGTGCACCGATATTGATGGCATTTCAGGTATATTATATAATATTATATAATTATCGTCACACCTTGACTGCTGTTGGTCAGATGACGAATGCCAAGGATGTCGACTGGGCCTCGCTTTACTTGCAGTGCTTGCCATTTTTGGATTGATTTGTCAGAGACTTGGCCGCCATGGGAGCCCCCAGATGATCCTTGATGAAACAGCCAGCCACATGCAGCGTCTGAAGCTGTTTGGTCGCTTCCGCAAACCATGGTTACTTCAATGAAATACCACACTATTGGTATGACTGATAACTGGGTGCAAAGACCCTCACAGTTTCGTGATGAACTACAAGAAATCAAGTAATTAATTTGGTCCGCCGCTCATATTATATATACATATATACACGTCCGTATAGATAATAAAGCTAGGATTAATAGCCCCCCCCTATTCGTAAATAACCCTGGGCCCCCAGATTTTCGGGCAATACTAAAGTCAATTAGTAGTTGGTTTTTCCCTCCCGGATAGTGGTGCACCCCCCCCATTAGTAAATACCTGCTGCGACCCCCAGATTTTTTGTGGTACTAATTTAGCATTATTTCCGTTTACTTTTAATTGGTTCTACAATTCTATGGCTACTTACTGACCCTTCCTATCTCATCTCTTCTTTGATTCCTATCATTTGGTGCATCTTTCCCATGCTCACTCAATGTTTTTTTGGCACCTCTGGATACGAAACCGACCTAATTTCGTCAAATTTGACCCCTCATGGATCCTACTGTGCAGCTAATTATCAGCTAATTCCACTAGAATTGGCACTTCATTGGTGCTTATATGAACCTAATTCCAGCAACACCAATGGTGGAGTTGTTTTTTCCCAATTCGGCGTCTTCTTAAATTCCTCAAAAACACATTGTTGACCTTGTTGACCTTGTTGACCTAAAAGGGGGGGAGGATGGAGGTTTTATTAAGAGAGCGGGTTCCCATGGGGAGTGAATTATCATTAAGAATGATGATAAAACACTGCAAATACCGATGTTTTATGCACTTGGAGGGACTGAAACCCTTGTAAAAAGACCTTTTTTGATCAGGATTTTGAGATACTCTCTCAGTGCTGACTCGCAGTGCTGACTCGCAGTGCTGACTCGCAGTGCTGACTGAGGAACCTGTATGGCAACGCGGCGTCAATCTCCACGGGCAAGTTATGGCCGTCTTCAATAGGTGGATTGTCATGTTAATGTTGGGTCACCGTTCTGTGCAATTGAGTATATATTGCAGGTACTGGCATGCGACATTGCATTCTGTTCCATAATGATGAGAGATTGAAAGGATGTTGCACATCATGCTGCTGCCTTGATCTTCATCAGTGCGGTCAGCAGCACCGTCACTAGACCTTAGAATATGTTGAGTCTCATTTGCATATTTCCGCCGCATTATATCGATTTAAATCAAGATCATTAACGATCACCATGAATATGATATATATGTATATACACAGTATCTCATTTTATCAGTATCATTTGCTGTTTTTGCTTCATCAATATCTCTCCCTCTTCAGACGTGTCAAAAACATCCGTGTCCAGAACGTCTCCTCAGCGCCAGCAACAACTATCAGTCCACCTTGCCATCGGCACTGTTTCCATCCACAATCGTCATAAGGCATTACCCTCGGCTCGAAAGTATAATATCGAATTTTGCACCGTTGGACATATATCCTCAGCGTTTGACATCATCGTTGTCGTAGCTTCCTCATCGTCATGTTCATCATGCTCAGCTTGATCCCTCCCCCGACACTGTGTCCCTATGGCCAAGAGACATAGGGTATGTTGGAGATATTGTGATCCTGGAGAGTCCGTAGAGTTTCCGAGTTCTAGTTGGCCATGACGTTCATGTGGCAAACCCTCCAAGGCAAGGGTGAATTGAGTTCCAGGTATTAATTTTGTTTATAGCTTGCCTCTCTGTGTATATTATGTACACAATGCATATCGATATGTATATATATATATGATTATATATATATATATATTGTAGGGTGAAGGCTGCAGATTTGAATCAATGTAGTCAACAACTGTAAATGCTCAGTTTTCCCCAGCGCATATATATATATACATATACACATTAATATATTTATACATATGCATTCATACATATAATATATATATATATATATGTATGTATATACATAGATGCGTAGCATTTTCTGCTGCAGAAACCGTTGTAAGCACTGTCACTGGCCAGGCGCCAGCGAATGGTTGAAGACAACAACAGCCAGCCTGGTGGAAGCTGCAAATGGCACAGTTTTCAGCGGCGCATTGGGAGGCCCCAGTGGGCCAACAACAACAGCAACAACAACAACCACAGCCACAACAACAACCACAACAACAACAACAATAACAATAACTGGAGGTTCATACATAGGTATAATTACTTGGAATAGATTATACATCAACATCTCCTCAGATCTCCCAAACACACAAAATGACTTGTTCATACTTAAAACGGAAATGACCTATATGACCAACATGACCAACAGATCCGCTGGGTTTTTGTGTCACCGACCTCAAGTACAAAAGTTGCTCTGGTGTCACGTGATTCCTGTTGAGCGGCTTTGTAGCAGTTGCTGGCCTTTGTGGCATCAAATCAACATTGAATTTGTTCAAAACTATATACATGTTGTTTGGCCCGTTTGGCTGCATTCTCTGGGAATCATGGTAGACATTGGTGGAAAGACGGCCGATTGCTTGTAATTGGATATGTTTCACCAGACTTACAGGGTTTATATCCCAGCTCACCGCGGTCATTACCATGGTTATACCAAGTTGAATAACCCTAACTGCACCCAAAGTAGGAGCAGCCTGGCTGAAGACGACCATGGCCACACTGGTAGATTCAGTCAATTCTCACTGTGAACAGGCATAGGTTTCATAGGTTTGCGCTACAAAGCACACAATGCACTGCAGTAGATTTTACTGGGCAACATCACATCACAGTACCTTTGGTTGCCTTGTATTGCATTGTACCACTAGCATGCGCGAAGACGTAGCATATGCACGCAAGCATGCACAAATGCATGCCTCACATCAGACATGAGGATGGATAAAAACCTGTCGTATCCTGTATTTATATTATATTATATATATTATATATATATGATGCACAGTATTGCATAGTCTATTCATAAAGAACGGCTATGTTCACATCAACAGAAGGATACCATGTCCAGCCGTATGCATCCCATGAAGCAATGCAACAGCTAGGAGCCGCTTGGTTGAAGTCCGCGAAGAACTCATCGTTTGCCACAGCTCTCCATGGCGTATTGGAAGATAGCTTTCTGAGTTCCTTGATTGCCTTGGCGGTTTCAAGATGTAGCATCCAGAAATGGGGGGCATCCTTCCAACAAACTATTGTGAAAAAACATATCAAATGTTTCTGGTATATAGCACAGAGTATTGCCAATATGACCACTTGGTTTATCCCCAAAAATTGACAACATGGAATGATACCGATTGACTTCCATAATTTTAGGGAAGCCGGGACAGTTGTGACTTTTTTTACATATTGATTTCGTGATTTGGGGATTCGACGTAAATTGCGATGTGTTTCCAGTTGCACGTTTTAGATTGTTCCCAAGTTGCACGTAGCCACCTTAATTCTGTCTAGTGTGGTTCCATGCCAAGGTTCTTCCATGATTAAAAAAGAAGTTCTATACTAGTCGAGGGATATCAATTTTTATGGTAGTTGGAAAATCGTCTGGGGTGTAGAACCCACAATTGATAGTCAGTTTTCTATAGTTTTCTTCCATCTGGGGCTGGCTTTACCTCACCATTTTGCAAAAGTCAAAAGATATCCATCATCGACAAGACATTAGACATTTACCAGTTACTTGGCTGCAAGGTTGAATACGGGTTTCTTTTCAGTGGACCGGATCGTGTTTCAACAAAAGAAACAACCCACAGTTTGTCTAGGGGGCTCAGATTCATCAATCGCTGTGCAAGTCCAACTCATGCGTAGAAATTGCCTGAAACCATTTGAAACCAAGGTCTGTAAAATGAGCCTACACATGTCAGAGTGTTTCACAAACCTACTGTAGGTCTCCAGAAGAATGACCCCTTGGTTTCACTTGGAAACGTTGCCCTTCGTGAGGGTCCCCAAACAGAAATACTTTTCTTCAAGAAGGGATGCGTTGAGTATCGAAAGATTTGAAATATATTTCAGATATTGGCAGATCTTCAGGAATCAGGAACGGTGTGGTCCACTGTGTTGAGCCATAGCCTTGGCTTGGGCGTGTGAGCTTTCATCCCTGGCCAATTTGCTTGTAGTGTAGGTGCTTCAAGCGAATGGAAAGTGCCGAATACTTCTGTGGTCACCAGGAAGCACTCGGCATGGATGGGTGGAGGCTAGTAGCAATGGGGATTTGGTTCAAGATCCTCAATTAAAAATGGCTGTTCAAATAGCCAAGTGTGGTTGAGTCCTAATCCATTAAAGGATGGTGATGTTGCTCTGTGTTTCTTCACTTATGTCTGATATGGATGATAACATGGGTGTATCCAGCATGATCCAACACTGGGGTGTACATCAAATCCTTTGGTTAATCCCCAGTGGACGGTCTCAAAATGGAGGTATGCGCCATGTTCAGACCTGCCCGGCCTTGCTGGGGCGGAAGTTTGGAAAAAAAGCAACGGCTTTCGGAGATGATTGGTCGAGGTGTTTGTCAAATGCAGAAGACATGAAGGATTGAGATGAATGTCAGGTGCATCAATGAATATGGAAAGATCCACCATGTTTAATGGGAAAATCCACTATAAATGGTAATGATACCATGGTGCATCAATGAATGTGAGGTGTCAAATGGTTGAGATGCGCTTGGGGAAACCTCCAAGGTTTCCAACATCACAGCTCTGGAACCGTTCCTTCAAGAAGGAGGTACGATGGGCGTTTCCATAAAATCGGGGTACCCCACAAATTGATGTTTTATAATGGAACATCCCCCAACAATGGTACCCCCATGACTTAGGACACCTCCACTTATTGGTTTGGCAGATTATTTTACTGAATATGACTGTTGTTGTGGTTCCATCAAGGATTCAGAGGGTCTTGTGCAAAACTTGAATCAGCCTTGTTGGTTTTGCGGATATACTAACAGTTGGTTGTGGCGTATCATCATTGGAGTATGGTGTACCACCACCTTGCTCATTTTCCAACGTTGGGCATGTTTGGGCGCGCTGGGTTTTTGTTGGACACACACATACACATACTGGTTGGTGGTTTGGAACATGTTTTATTTGTCCATATATTGGGAATAATAATCCCAACTGAAGCATATTTTTCGGAGGGGTAGGTATACCACCAACCAGCATATAGTTGACCATATATTAAATGTGCGCCTCCACGAACCCATGTTCGCTGCTGGAGTTTCAGAAATTAATGCGCTGACTTGTCTTCTGGTAATCTAACCTGGCAATTCAAGCTACTTCACGTAATCACAGATGAAAGTGCCATATCTTACCATGGTATCAATTGAATCAATATTTTTTTTTGAACCATATAATATTTTACCAGGAAAGAAATGTGATGTTCCATTGCCATGTTTGAAAAAATCCCGGAGGGTAGCTGAACCGCAGGGCTTTTGGTGGCTTCCGGAGCTGTGGCAAGGTGCGCAGATGGTGGACATTGTGTCTTAAAACCGTGAGTTATAACCGTACCGTCTTTGGGAACCACGGCAAGCTAAGAAACCCTCCATAAATGGAGGTTGATGGGAAAATTATCCGTAACTTGGCTGGTTTTTCAATGTTTTTCAGCAGCCATGTTTGATTACTTGAGGGGACCAATTTACTGAACTTTTAAGAAATTGAGAAATGGTAATCAATTAATTAATATATTACTAGGATTTTATCTCGGATTGACATAAAACAGTACCCTGGATGTCCTTTTTCTTACTGGTTGATAAATACGATTACTAAAGGAGCAACCCCTAATAGACAACCAGGAGATAAATTAAAGTCAGTGGCATATCAAACCTGCTTTGTTTTTCCCTAAGAACATCATGGAACATATGGAACCATACTCCATCTGGGAGCTCTGAAAAGCCCCAAAAGAAAGAGGGGAACAAACTCACCACATTACCTACTAGATTCATACCTTTGGATTTTGCGATGCAGTGGTTTGACTGAAACTTAGGTTTGCATTTTTAGATGCACCGGATTGGCGCTTCAGAGGTCTTGTTGGTGGGTTGTTTGGTGATCATGGTGGTGGTTGCGGACCTGACAGGAGCCCATTCAAAGTCCCAGATGACGAGCCTCCCATTTGGGAGTTTGCTCCAATCTATATCGAAGCTCGGGCAGCACGAGTGGTCCCAGTTCTTGTGCTGTTGCTGTATGTTTTGAAGGTTTTGAATGTTATGTCATAATATGATAATTCTATATAATTCTGCTGGGGTCCGAGATTTTCAGAGCATAACTCAGTTGAAGGAAATTCCGTTGTTGTTAGACCCCTCAACTTCAGATTGGTTTGAAGGCCCCCATTGCAGATTTGTATGTTTGGAAGCTGCCTGAAAAAAATAGACTATGTGTAACTGGTACTGCCAAGACTGCTACAGACTTCCAGGACCACTTTGTTTGGCTTTTGCATCTCCGTTCTTTGATGTATTCGTAAAAGTAAATTGCAACATTTCACGGATCTGGATCCCTCCCCTTTCTCCATCGTCCCCTGAGGAGGAAAAGTTGATGGGAAGGAGCAATTTTCGTTGGGATGTGCTGCATAAAGGCCACCAACTGCACCATGTGCATGTGTGTCCATGCCAACGATGGCTAAGTAAATTATATTATCTCTGTATGATATGCCTTCTGTGCATGTTGTATATGTAAATAGCATGCATACATAATCATCATAATGATGTAAATGTTCCGTATACATACATGTATTTCATATGCGGAATACGTAGCGTGTGTTGAAAACATACGGCTGGGTTGACTTGTTGAAGCCATGAAATGCTTGAAGAAAGAGAGATGCTCTGCCAAACTTCTGGAGTTGATGAGAGATGGCTTCCTTTCGTTCTTTTGTGAAGACTTTGTGTCTAACACATGCAATATATGTATATAGTATATACGTGAATATGTCAGTAGATTAAATAAATAAATAGATAGATAGATCAATAGATCAATAGATCACTAGATCAAAAGATCAATAGATCAATAGATTAGAATGATTAGATTAGATTGATTAGGTTGATTAGGTTGATTACATTAGATTGATTGGTTTGATTGGCTCGCTTGGATTGATGAGATTGATTGGATTGATTTTGTTGATTGGATTGTTTTTATTGATCGATTTTATTGATTAGTTGGATTAGATAGATTAGCTAGTTGGATAGGCTGGATAGGTTAGGTCGGTTAGGTAGATTAGGTAGATTAGATAGGTTAGATAGATTAGATAGGATAGATAGATTAGATAGGATAGATAGACTAAATAAACTAGATGGATGCGATCGATTAGCTAGAATTATTAGGATAGATTAGATAGACTAGATCGATCAAAGGATAGATGATTAAAAAAAAGAAAGTGTATATATAGACCTATGTGGATGACTATTTGGATA